AGTATGGCCACGGCAGAAGATTACCTCTTGAAATATCCATTGCAAAGACATTTGATCCTGATCACGTGTATATTCTACAAATGATTTTACCGAATAATTTGATGGTTTCAATGACAGATTTAATACGCAACAAAAGTGCCACTAAATGCAAGCAGCGATTTCATCGGCAATGCAAAAATGTTGTGAATGAGGTTCAGCCAATCATTTATAAAATGTATGTGTGGAATTGGAGATTAGTCTTAAATCATGTCTTAATAGATGTATTGTTTGCAAACAAACAACGCGTGGGAGTCAGGTCAGAAAAGCAAAAAATGTTTTTTAACATGGTGTGTGGTTTACCAAACGTAACACGTATTACAAATAAGCTTAAACTGGAACGAATTTATACTTGCAAACATAAACATCACAAGCTATTTGACTTTCCATGCACGGCAACAGAGGCTCGTACAATGGCTGTTGAACAATTTTGGAATCAAGAAATAATAAAACTTAAGGATTATTTCAGACAAAAAAGATGTGTGTGTCAAATCCCATCGGTATCGTACCAGACGGTCTAAGCATACGACTGAATACGAATACGACTACGCATATGGAGCACTTATAACTTGCAAGTGTTGTGTAATGAATTATTTAGAAAATCTATAAAAAAAAAAAAAAAAAAAAAAAAAAAAAATTTTTTTTTTTTTTTTTTTTTTTTTTTTTTTTTTTTTTTTTTTTTTTTTACTTAAACTATTGAACCTCAAGCTTTTCAAAATCTTGTAGACATGGCTTTCGTTCACGTACCCTACCATTCGCCTCAGGAATTGATGGCAAAATTTCAATGTTTGAATTTGATACGAGACGCTGCTCTTCCTGGTGCCACACATCGAGCACCCAATTTTGTAATGGTGGATCCTAAAAATTATTATGGTACCTATGGAGGACTCATTTACGACAGTGTATTGGAAAAAATATCATTTAAAAACCAAATGTTGTTATCAAACTATGCTTTCAAGGATTCCATTGGATACGATTTATCCATTATATGGTGGAATATTCTAAATCCTGAAGTATTAGGGAGTGTCGATGCTCTAGTGGCTCCTGACGGACGAAAAGCAGTGACACCACACCTTTATAATCAGATGCAGATTAACAAGATACGAGCCACCCAACCTCCAAAAAGTAGTTATTATGGAAATAGAGCCTGGCGCATAAATGATACGTCTTCATTAAATTCTGATTCTGAATAATTTGCATTTTCAAGGGTTCGATAGCGATCGAGTTTGCTTTCCGTTACTTTGTTGTGTATGTTGTACCACAGTTTACGTTGTTCAGTTTTCTCATCCATCAATTGAGGTTTCAATTCTTGGACGATATGCTTCAAATGCGCCATACATATTCCACACCGCAACATTCGATACATGGATTCTGCAATCTGCTCACGCCACATGTTTTTGGCTAATGCGACGTCGGCTGAATCATCGGGTCTACCGTCCATAGCTTCTGCCATCCAGTGCAATAATCGCCAAAAGGACGATCCAAATTGACCAATGGTGAGAAAATTCAGTTTTGGAAAGAGTTGTTCAGCAGGTGTTATGGGTGCTGGGATCTGACACTGATCATTTAAAAACTCTCGAAGGGCCGATGCTTTGCCCTCCAATAAATCCATCATCAACGTTTCCAATTTGTTGAGCAGTAAATCTGAATTCCATTGAACATTGTACATCAAGGTTAAAACTATAAAAATGTTTTCTCTCAAAATATTTTTCCAAGCCATGATGGCCAATTGGGACTCTGGTTTGGTGAACGTACGAATGTACATTTCTTCTTTCACAATCATGGTCAATCGCAATAAATAGGTCGCGACGACCTGATGTAATCGCTCTGGGGGTGTGGCTTGCCGAAATTTAACAGTAAATTCAGAAACGTCCCAAGGAACCACAAAAGATTCCTCTTCTGTAACGAGTCGCAACGTCCGATGTAAAAATGGATCAGTTTCCTGCAAGGCAACCTGGTTTAGTTTGGTTTTATCAATGTGTCCCCGATACGCATTCTTAAGATGGAGAAACGTGTCATGCTTCATACTGATAATATTCTTGCTTATCGCGATTCAAAGGATGGAAGCCAGGCAACGAGAAAAAATAAGAAGGGTCAACATGTGTTATGTGATCAATTGTGAGAATTGTGGCTCAAGGATAGGTACTTGGGAATGCGATAGACCTTATACTTGTTACACGACGATACATCGTCAAGGATTATGTCAAAAGTGTACCAGACGAGCGCGGGGATGAATGAAAATGAAACGCAACAACGTTAACAGAAATCTGTAGAGTACAACGTTTGGTCAACTTTAGAATTTCTTGAAGCTCTCAACCTTGGACACTATTTACTCAAGCTCAAACGTCAGTAGCAAAGTTAAAAAAAAAAAAAAAAAAAAAAAAAAAAAAAAAAAAAAAAAAAAAAAAAAAAAAAAAAAAAAAAAAAAAAAAAAAAAAAAAAAAAAANTTTTTTTTTTTTTTTTTTTTTTTTTTTTTTTTTTTTTTTTTTTTTTTTTTTATGTTGTCTTTAAATGTTGCAGTGAGTCGATGGCCATTACCATTACAACTTGCTAAACAGTGTGCTGAATATATTCTTGAATCCATGGAAGGAATCAATTTTTCTAGTTTGGAGAGGGATCGTTTTTTGAACCTTTGCAATGGAATGTTTAAACCATTTGATATGAATAAACCTTTGATTGTTGATGGACATAAATGTCAATGCAACAAGCTTGTCAGATTCTTTGGATATTTTGCCAATGGTTCTTACGAAAAAAGTGTGTTTAAATACGTATGGTCTGCTGCTACGCTACCCTTCTTATCGCCATTAGCGTTCACGTGTGAAGTATCAGAAATTCTGTTCAACGGAGTTTTCAACACATCTTCAAAGATATTTTTTTGCTCAACTATAAAGTGTTTCCTGCCTATGATTTACCTGTTGGTTGGATTTCATCGTCCAATTTGTCTTTTGAAAAACTTTTTGCCATCGTGCTTTTGGTGTGGGAAATTGAAAATGAATATGGATCAAATCATTCGAGATCAAGTGGAAGTTATCGAGAAGAGCGACGACCCCCCTATCGATAGGGACACAATAGACTGTGACGCTCAAAGTAGGGATCAAGTCGAAACATTTCAAGAAAGTGACGACCCATCTATTGATCAAGATTCTCTAGAAAGCGGTGATTGGAATGTGGATCGAGGGGAAACCTCCCAGGAAAACGACAATCGACAAAATGATCAAGAACGGTTAGAAACTGGCGATCGACACATGGATCAGGTTGAACAGGTTGAAACCATCCGGGAAAGGAACAATCAACAAAATGATGAACGCATGGATCAAGTTGAATCCTCCCAAGAAAGTGACGAAAATGAAATGGGTCCAGATGAAATCTTCCTGAATCAGAATAACCAGATGACATCGCCTTTGAATCTAAAAAAAATTGTAGATCTTTTAATGTGTGAAATTAGAATTTTGCAAGCAGACGTTTGGTTGGGAAAGACACCCACACAAATCAAAGAACGTTGGAGAGTAACCTTGAAAAAAAATCAAACCATTCATTGAATCATTGAAGCGTAAAAAAAAAAAAAAAAAAAAAAAAANATTGTCTGCTGTCGCTTTACCTATCCTCTCACCATTAGCGTTTGCGTGTGAAGTATCTGAAATTCTGTTCAACAGAGCTTTCAATACATCTTCAAAGATATATTCTTGGTCAACTGCAAAGTGTTTCCTACCGATGATTTGCCTGTTGCTTGGAGTTCATCGTCCAATTTGTCTTTTGAAAAACTTTTTGCCGACGTGCTTTTGGTGTGGTAAATTGAAAATGAATATCAGTGAAATCATTTCAGATCAAGTGGAAGTTGTCCAGGAAAGTGACGACCAACCTCTCGATAAAGACACGATAGAATGTGACGATCGAAATATGGAGCACGTCGAAACTTTCAAGGAAAGTAACGACCAATCCATTGATCAAGATCCTCTAGAAAATGATGATTGGAATGAGGATCGAGAGGAAACCTCGTGGGATAGCGATAACCAATTTGTTGATCAAGATCCCTTAGAAGCTTGTGATCGATATATGGATCAAATTGAAATCTCACAGGAAAGCAGCAATCAACAAATTGATCGAGAACCCGTAGAAACTGATGATCGACACAAGGATCAAGTTGAAAGCTCGCAGGAAAGCAGCAATCAACAAATTGATCAAGATCCAGTAGAAAGTGATGATCGACACAAGGATCAAGTTGAAACCTCGCAGGAAAGCGATGAAAAGCAAATTGATCCAAATGAACTCTACCTGAACCAGATTAAATTGCCTTTGAATCGAAAAATACTTGTAGATGTTTTAATGCGCGAAATTAAAAATTTGCAAGCAGACATTTGGTTGGGAAAGACACCTGCACAAATTACAGAACGTTGGAAAGTAACCTTGGAAAAAATCAAACCAAACTTTGAATCAAAACAATTTAATTTTAAGAAAACGTACAAGTTTTAACATGTTGCTAATTTTTTNAAAAAAAAATTTATTTATTTTTTTTTTTTTTATTGTTGGATGTTTATAAGGTTTGTCAAGACCACACAGATTTACTGGATCAACGACAGCAGAGGATTGTCAGCTGCAAAAGAACCAAAGTAATTTAACAATGATGGCCCTAAAGCACACGCCTTCTGAATCGGATGAGAAGCCTCCTGCTGCTTCGTGGAAGTTGTTGGCATGTTCTTATATACCAGACTCTGACAAGTCAAGGACATCTCGGATTGTAGACCGATTCCTTTACGGGTTTGAATTTTCCGATGAAAAATTGTACCAAGACCTAAAAGATATAGCTGATGAGTACATGAAGACAGAATACACAGCATTTGAGCCGATGCCATTGAACACCGACATGTGTGAATGGAGATTTTTTTTTTTTTTTTTTTTTTTTTTACTTCTTTAAATCTATGCGTCAAGTATCCTTGCTTAAATAAATTTTTTTTCAATGGAAAGAATGGTTGACTATTATGCTACGTTAGAATTATCAAAATCCGCCACTACTCAAGAAGTTAAACAGGCATACAAAAAACTTGCTCTAAAATGGCACCCTGATAAAAATTTAGATGAAAATGAAGAAGCTGAGAGAAAGTTTAAAGAAATCAATGAGGCCTATGAAGTATTGTCTGATGAAGAAAAACGTAAAATATACGATAAATATGGTAAAGATGCCGATGCGGGCCACAATCTTATTTTTTCCCCATTTTCATTCCAAAATCGAGACGATTTGTTGAAACAGTTTTTTGATGAATTTCAAAGAAATCGTTCATTTTCCATGTTTGAAAATGCGCCTGGATCACGAAGTATTAGAAATATAAGTAATTTTATAAATGGGATGAAAATTGAAACTACAATAGTTTTGGTCGACGGAGTAGAAACGGTGACTGTTTATGAAAATGGTATTCTGAAATCAAAAACCACTAACGGCTTAGTGCTATGAGTAAACATATTATCCCTAGATTGGAAGAAAAAAAAAAAAAAAAAAAAAAAAAAAAAAAAAANTTTTTTTTTTTTTTTTTTTTTTTTTTTTTTTTTTTTTTTTTTTTTTTTTTTTTTTTTTTTAATGTTATATAATCTTTGGGACAGACTAAACTTATACCAATGCCGTTCATGACTGCAAGCATCCGTGTGCATTCACCTCAGCTGGTTTGGAACAAGCATTTATTATCTCATTACCTAGGAAGTTTTTTCAAGCTACACCATCCAAATATTTATCAATTTAAAATATTCCCTGTGAGATATTGGGAATATCAAGGCTCTTTTATCAAGTGTCACATTCTCATTTTGTACAATTATGGATTTGTACGTGCAAGAACCTACCAGCCCCTTCTTAAAAAACTCAAACGACGAAGGACTCGTTACAGTGAAAACAGACAACGTGCCCCCGCACTGCCCTCACATTGAAAAAGGTTTACGCTGCGCCTGCACTTCAAAGGACGGAATCGTTGTCAGTGAGCAAAGCATCATAATCAACAATGACGCCCACTTATTGTGCGCATTTCCTTGTTACGCCTTGCCAAGCCATTGCACTCTGGAAGAGGAAAAGACGATCGTGACATGGTTGACTCGAGAGAAATTTCACAATTTTGGTCATCATTGTAAACGAATAGGAGGTCAAAAGAGAAAATTTGAAAGGTTTTTAATGCCCAATACCGTATTTTTGAAAAAAAGGGAAACATGTACTTGAATAAAGATTACTGCGCCGCCTATGGTTTGGAATTTGATGGAAACGACTGCTATTCTCCAACTGGGCAAACCATTTTGGAATTTCTCGTGGGAAAAACAGTGTATCGAGCCATTAAAACGTCCACCATAACACCTCCCAAAAAGACATTGCCCACCCTTCCAAAAGACATTGAATTTCCAAATGTGCCGGACGTGACAGACATTACACAGGCAGCGGCTGACGGATCAGAGATTGCCAAAGACATTGCCAAAGAAGTGGCGTTTGATTTTGGATTGGACATTACCGTCTATGCCGTGGAAAAGATTTTGCGCAAAAAAGCACCGAAACTCATTGCAAAAGCAGCCAGTAGCATTCCCATTAAGTCTGCCCTCACGCAAGTGGTCTTGAACCAAACAGTGTCTCTGTCTGTCCGAACATTAGCCACGTTTGGAAAATTGTTGGGTGGTATAAGCAACGTTTTCGCCATATTCAGTATTTTTTCTCTCGTATTGGATGTCATTGATCCTTACAATTATGATTCGGTATTGACGGCAGACATGTTGACCAAGATCAACAAGCGATTGGATTTTTTGTATTTCAAGAAGGAAAATGAAGCAACGCGCCTCATTACACCTGAAGTGGTGTGGGATACAATATGGGTCGAGGAAGACGAATCGGATCGTTATGAATTTATGTCTGAAAAAATTTCAGAATATTTGATGGCTCTGCGTAAAAACACAATAAAATCTGCGCCGAAACGAAAATTGTACCATTTTCAAACTTTAAAGGAAAAACAATATTTAAACTGGAGCTTACATGGCGCTTTTGCATTCATGTTGATTGTTTTTGCATTGCTATGGATTGAATGGATACACGTATGGGCAGTGTGTTTATTTTTTGCGCTGTTTTACTTTACATGAGAATTACTTTACATTTACTTTACACTACATTGTAATTCTGGAAGCCCTCCACTCGCAACTTTCGAATTTCCTGGAACTCACAACTTTCAAATATTTAAACATTTCCTAAAGCCCTCGACCTTAGACAATATTGGCTTGACCTAAAAAAAAAAAAAAAAAAAAAAAAAAAAAAAAAANCTCGACAACTCTGCTCACAAGAAAATTCACTGGAAAACACGCAACTTGCAAATGGTATCAACTGTGTGGTAGCCAGCCACGTACAGTGGGTCGCTTCTTTATCGTAATGAGCGTTTTACGTGGTTTGGTATCTCTTTATGTGGGATGCGTTCTCGAACAATGGCTCAACAAATAACGACACGGTTTATTTGGAAGACGTTTCTGCTTAAAATTTCCATCCTCATTCTTAAAAGTTATTCTATGTGGCTTGTAATCGTACACCAATTCCGAATGGTCTTTTCCCCATTTCAAAAAACGTGAACCCACTGGACCCGTTGCAGACCGATCACTCGCAGCCGAACTCACAGATTGACTTCTGGCACGACTCCCGCATGGAGAAGGAGAGCGTGAAGATGCTCTGGAAGAGNAACAACCTTTATAAGAAACAATGCTGCAATTATCCGTCTTTTTCTTGTTTTTGGATCCTTTCGGACGTCCCCGTTTTCCAGGTTTCTTGGGAGGTTTTTTCTTGCCTGAGCCTTTTGGACGTCCTCTCTTCCCAGGTATCTTGGGAGGTTTAGCCTTGCCCGACCCTTTCGGGCGACCACGCTTACCCTTCGGTTTGCATGGACTCGGTGGAGGTGTAGGTGGGGCTAACGCTATGATTGGACTCATGTAATCGCTCAAAGAAGCGTCGCTGTCTGATGAGTCGGTTTCGTTTATTTTTACCATGTTTTCTTTTCACTTATTTTAATCGATAAATGCTACCCACCCAGTATTCTAGATTGTGCATGCTCGCAGCTTTGCAAACATCCTCTGGGTTTGAAAGAGCTAAATATTCCACCCCCATAAAGGAGGCGGTCGGTACGTTAAATTCCTTGTCAACACTACCCGATTTATAGAACGGTAACAGACCCAAGATATTTTGTAAATCCGTAACGTTTCCATGCTTAAATGTTTTGCAATAGAGCAAATTCAAACAATTTTGCACGACCTGTTCGAACGCTCTCACGCCTTGGCGCGGAGGAAAAGCAATGAGCCACCTTTGAACCATTGATTTGCTTTGAAGCATGTAATCAAATGCATCCCAAAAAGCCAAATACATGGTGAGAGGTTCAGTGTATCGAGTCAAATCAATCAAAACGTACGATTCCGAAGCTAATGCCTGTTGCGTTTTTCCTCGAATGATGAAGGAATGGACGGCATTGGGTTGAACCTGTTCAATGGTTTTTGTTTGGATGGATTTGTCTTGCAGCTTCAACAACTCTTGGGTGTGTCGAATCATCAGGGGAGGCGGCGACTCACCGTGAAAGAAACACACGTGGGTCCAAACGGTCTCGAGATTTCGTGAACAGTTGAAATGGCTTGTAAACACTACCAAACGAGACGCTTTGGGCGGTTTCTCCAATATTTGATCGGGTACAGGCTCCAAGATGACCATTAAATCACAAAAGGTATCTAAACCCTGATTGGGTGTAATGACGCGAATACGACCGTCTGGAGAGGACGGGCAATCGTAATAGGCAGACTGTATCGCTACATGTAGCTGAGGATCTAAATTCAGAGCGTCAAATACTTTTTGGGGGTATCGACCCAAGTTTCCAAACACAACCACATGGTCATGTCTTAAAATAAATCGAAATAAATCTTTTAATGTATCCATCATTCCTTTCTTTATAATAAGGATAGTAAACAACTATTTTTTTAATTACTTTAAACTACTATGTTAAAAAAAAAAAAAAAAAAAAAAAAAAAAAAAAAAAAAAANTTTTTTTTTTTTTTTTTTTTTTTTTTTTTTTTTTTTTTTTTTTTAATGTTTAAAAGAGTTGATACTTTACACTCTATTCATTTTCTTCCTGAAGCGTGACACATTTAAATCACAAGCCTCGTTTGCCTGGAGCCATCTGCCAGATTCCACCGCACAGTCCAAGTGCTACGATATACATTGCAGCCTGTAGAAACACAAATGGTTTTTGGTCACTCACAAATACCGAGGCCGTTTTTGTTTCCTCCTGGTACGTCGAGTACATTAGATATCCAAAACACGCCAGTCCAGCAAAGATTACAATAATCAACACCAGCAGCAATATTGTTCTGAGGTCCATACTTTATTATCCCATGACGAGTAGCAATCCCAGCAAAACCATACACGCCAAATTTCCAACTGCTGGGTAATAGAAACCAGAAGAATTTGCATTCCAAAATTCTTGGGCCTCTACGCCTTTCTCTTTCATGACTTTACTTTGATCTATGACAAATTTCTTGGCGCTGGATATTTGGTACATGACGTATACTTGAACTACAACCGTTATAAACAACAGTCCCAACACCGTTACCAAGATTATATTTCGGAGGCCAAATTTCATCTTGTTTTACAAAAAAACAAACAAGATATGGCTGTACATGGTCTCGTTCATACCGTAGGTGTGCTGCTCGGTCAACGATACGCACCTCTTGAACTATCATTTGTGGATGTAACTGGATACGAGAAGCATTTTCACATCAATTGTCCAATGTCTTATGCCTATTTGAAATCCATGTATCCTCACAACTATCCAGATGCCATCGTGACCACTGATCAAGCCACCCCCTATTCAGAAGTGCTTCATTTTTTACAAGAGCGTTATCATTTTTTGGAAAAAATGATACCTGGAGTCGTATTTGGTTGCAAGGGACTGACGTATCAAATGAACGTCTTGCGAGATGCCGAGATACCCAGAATTTTGAATATAGATACCTTGGGTGTACCTTCTTTGACAAAATTATCCGCCCAATACGCTGTAAATATACTCTGTCCTTTCCACAAGCATATTAGTAAGTGTTCTCTCGTGGCTCTCGTATTAATCCTGCGGTATATGTTGGAGCAAAATCTTGTTTTGCTTCTCGGCCAAGAGGAGCTTTTCGGACAAGTGAAAAGTGTCGATGACGGAACTCGTGTCGAGGGGAACGTTGGAACACGATTGCCACAAGTCATCCAGTCGAGCATAGGAGAGTAAACGTTGAAACACATCAATGACCCGTGGCGGTGGTGAGAGCAATGTCACTTCTGAAATGGAGTCGTGCACCACAGAAACGTTTTGTAAAAATTCAAACGCTTTGGAATGGTTCGAGTCCAAACAGGATGGATAATTTCCATCTAAAAATTGATTCAATGCTCTCAACACCAATTGTTGAATGGATTGGGAGAGTGCGTGGTCG